AGGAAAACACGGATCTTTTTTTTAAGAAAACACATATATTTACACAACGGGATACTAGTCAGCCGTCAAAAAGGAATAGATCTTGCCATTTGTGCACGGAAGAGGCTGTAGGCAGCTGGGTGAGTTGTTAACCCATCGGTTAAAATGAAATGATGGTAAGAATTACATAAACAAGTACCTGGCAGTCCACTGCATGTTTGATGTGCTCAATGTAAGTTAATGGTCATCATTATTGTTTTCGTCATCATCTGTATTGTCACTTATGCAAACACCGACATCCAACCTGTGGCAGAGCTTCAGGAGAAGGACAAACAAGCCCTGTGTTGGAACAGCTCAGGGTTGGGGTGGTCTGAAGCACCACCCCTCGGTATCTACATCACCCCTCTGAGTTTACCTCTGTGGTCCACTATCTGTAAAAGAAAATTTTCTCAAATAAAGCATATCTTTTAGAAGTCCAGAAATTGGTTAGCCAGGTAGGTCCTAACCTCTCTAGCTATATGATTTCTTCTCCTGGACTGAGGGCTCATGCAAACACAGGGAGGAGGCCACGAGAGCAGGAGAGGTGTGCATTGTCTGGGGTGTTCTTCTTTGCCTTTATCAAGCTGCAGAGAAGAAAGGCCTTCTAAGAATAATGACAGGCCTGTCCTGGTCCTCCAGTGCAGACCTACCCCCTGCATCTGACCAGTGACCATGACACCTGGTGGCCACCACTGGAACTACACCCAACCTCCTCAGTCCTGTCAGGGTGACCTTGAGGGCCATGTGATGAACAGCACTGCCGGGTCCAGAGGACGCGTCTTAGAAAGTACAGAGGAAAGCAGTATGATTCCCAGGAGGCAGCTGTGTAGTGAGTAAAGCCAGACCTGAGTTTCAGTGTGACACTCCGCCAGACTGACGAGCTGGGCGATCTTGGGCAAGTTAACCCGTCTCTCTAAACCCAGTTCCTTGTTTGGACCCGAGCCATAATGATACCTATCTCTCAGAGCTGATATGAGGACAATGTGAGGCTCTGGATATGCTAATGTGACATGCGGCCAATAGGTTAGTGTCTCCTGCACCCACATCCTCAGGCGTCAGCGGCTGGATTTGGTGACATGAGTACATAGTCCGTCCATTCAGACACAAGCCCCCTCGTGACTGCATCCTTGAAAGTCCACATTTCTCACAACTTTCTGGAACCATCCAGCCCTGCTCTACCTGCCAGGCCTGCTAAAGCCTCACCGAGCTGTAGATTCTCAGTCCCCACACGATTGCTTTCAGTTGCTTTCAGTCGCTGAGTGGGCGTGAAGTGCTGGCTACAGGCTGTCCTCTAAACCAGCATGCTGTCAACACCTGGTCCTGCTGCAGAACCCTGCTGACTAGTTCTTCTCGGCCACACCCTACTCAGGGCTCCCTGACACCTGGCCTCCATGGGCCTAAGTGAAGTCCTCAGTTATCTATGGGCAGGTAACAAACCAGCCCAGATGCAGGGGGTTAACACAGTAGCCATCTCATTTGCTCATGATGCTGTGGGTCAGCTCAGCTGAGTGGTTCTAGGGTCACGCTGTGGCTACGTTGAATCACCTGATTATTCAAGGAGGGCCTGATGGCCAGCAATGGCTTCCCTCACGCTGCCGATGATTGTCAGCTATCACTGGGCCTTCATCACCTTGTGCTCTCTCGTCCTTCACTCTCCAAGAGGGCAGGAGAGGGAGTTCCAAGGGCTCTGGAAGCCTAGAGTCAGAAGCCACACAGTTCTACTTCTGCATCCTAAATGGTTAAGGCAAGTCATGTAGGCAGACTCAAAGGGCATTGGCCCTCCCACGGGCTGAGAGCAGAGTTACACTTCGAGGGAGCGCACGCAGCTTCCCAGCCCAGAAGCCCAGTTGCTCTACTGCATAGTTGTTTCTTTTCTCCTCCTAGCTGGCTCCTCATCCTTCATGGAAATCAGTGCATGCAACTGCTGGGGGATGGAGGAGGGAAAGGACTTCAGCAGCAAACCCACCTGTGTACTTCTTTTCCCTTCTCCCACCCCTCCCTCACATCCTTATCTTATTTCTGCCACATTTTCTGTGTACTTCTTCGACTTTTCTATCTGCTAGCCTTAAAGACAACCACTTCTAAGCCAAAAAGCATTGGCTTTCTCACTCTGAGAGCCTCGCAGCATCAAGAATCAATCTGACAGAATCAGGGACTGAAAGTGGCCATGGCGCCCCTGGTGATGGCAAAGAGGTAATAGATGTGGGAGATGATAAAAGAGGGATGCAGTTGTGAGAGAGGCACTGTTTTAAAGACATTGAAGATTCCATGTGTGGAAAGAGTACTGAAGAGAAAGTGGGAGTATGGGACCCAAGGCTAAGGAAGTATGTAGGATTCTAGTCCTATTTGGAAATTTGACAGTCATAGCATTCAATCTTCAGAGAAATCTAGGGAGAGGGCCAGTCCATAGCCCTGGTTAAGGAAACCAGATCCCACGTGGCCAACCATGCAGTTTGAGTCCTGGCCTTGGCACCTTGAGAAACACTGTGCACATGTCCACACATGCCCCAAATCCCAACAGGATAAATAGAGGAGAAAAAAATCTAGGGAGAACTGACGTGTTCGACACAGAGTCTTCAAATTCATGAACGTGGTACATCTTCCTATGTATTAAGGTCTTTGACACTTTTCAACCAAATTTTATAATGTTTTTCCATTGTTTGTTAGATTTATACCTGGGTACTTCATACCTTTAACGTTATTTTAACCCATTCAGTATCTTTTTATTCTATTTTCTGTATGTTTCTAGCATACAGAAATTTTTATACTGTATTAGTTTGCTAAACTTATTTATTAATCGTAATAATTCATCTCTAAAGTCTCTTGAATTATCTACCTAAATTGTGTTATAATTTCTGAACAATGACAGTTTTGGTCATTCATTTCCAATTCTTATACCTTTTCTTTCTTGTCTTGCCTTATTGCATTGGTTAGGATAGTCCGTACAAAATGAACTAGAAATGAGGTGGGCTTCTTTATCTGATTTCTAAATCCAAAGGAAAAGTTTTCAACACCTTGCCAGTAAGTCTGATGTTTGTTGTTTTGAGTAGATACATTATAATGGTCACAGAAATTTTCTTCTATTCAGAAAGTGTTTTTTAAATCATGATTGCATGTTTAAGAATTAGCAATTTTTGCAGAATCCATAAAGATGATCATATGATTTTTTTCTTAGTTACTGTAGTTGGTTATTTTATTTGATTTTCTAATGTTAAATCATAATTCCTGAGATAAATTAAGGTTGATCATGATGAATTATCATTTTTATGTATTCCCAAGTTTAGTTTGCCAATATTTTGTCTAGAAGTTTTATGTTTATATTTATGTGAATTTAACACACAATTCTTTCTTTATTGGCCTCGTAAGTTATAAGGTTATGTTAGCCTCGTAAAGTGAGTTACTTGCATAACTATACTCCTAGCTACGTGGGAGGCTGAGGCAAGAGGTTAGCAACATAGCAACACTCTATCTAAAAATAGAGAGTTACTCAATTTTCATGAAACTAAGCTGTATGAAGTGCAAAACGTTTTCAGAAAAAGTTGTTCCTTGAGAATTATTAGTTCTTAGGCCAGCTCAGTGGCACAGTGGTAACACACTGCTCAAGAGAAGCCAATCTCACCTGGGGACTATGGTTCCAAGCCCCGGCCTGGTCCATGGTTCACATGGGGACTATGGTTCACCTGGCCTGGTCCATGGTTCACCTAGTCTGGTCCATGGTTCACCTGGGGACTATGGTTCACCTGGCCTGGTCCATGGTTCACCTGGGGACTATGGTTCACCTGGGGACTGTGATTCACCTGGCCTGGTCCATGGTTCACCTGGGGACTATGGTTCACCTGGGGACTGTGATTTACCTGGCCTGGTCCATGGTTCACCTGGGGACTATGGTTCACCTGGCCTGGTCCATGGTTCACCTGGGGACTATGGTTCACCTGGGGACTATGGTTCACCTGGCCTGGTCCATGGTTCACCTGGGGACTATGGTTCACCTAGCCTGATCCATGGTTCACCTAGCCTGATCCATGGTTCACCTGGGGACTATGGTTCACCTGGCCTGTACTATGGTTGACCTGGCCTGGTCCACCTGAAACATGCTGGGTGAGTGTGAGGAAGCCCAAGATCTGAAGGCTGAGGGCTGGGGAGAGGAGATTGTGACATGACTGGACCCTGTGAAGAATGCCTCTCTGTCACTACCACATGGGTGTGTACATGCCTTATTGTAAATAAACAATATTTTTTAAAAGAATCATCCTATCAAGATGTACTAGCACTTAATTTTGGAATATTTTATCAGAAATTAACCCTCAATGTTTCCACAACCCATGAAATATTCTAAACGGTAATAGTTGCATCAGCAGAAAGATCCTCCTCAGTATACAATGGTCAGAAAGCATCAACATTTTGCACTTACCAAGAACTGGCACTGCGATCGGTCATATCAACAGAAAAGTTGTCTTTAAAAAAGTTGTTAAAGCTGTACATTTTGATGACCTGACAAATGAATTTGCACAAAAGTGAACCAGAAAAAATCATGATAAATTACAACACCATATTAATATAGCATTATTATGTTTTGCATTATATAAAGTTATGACACCAAAAGAGAATTTTGGGGGGTAATTTGTAGGTTTACATTGTTCCTCGGGAATCATTATTATCCCATTACATTTGATAAGTAATAAGATATTTCAAAGGAAAATATGTTTGTTTTATGATATGTTTTCTTGCTTTTTGAATAAAGGCCCCACCATTTTTTAAATAAGTTGCCGGAGAGCACATGCAGTTGCCAGAGAGACAGAGTTCCCTTCAATGGGGTATTTTCCTGCTGCAACCCCGTCTCCACTTGTCCCTCATGCTGGACTTTTGGGTCCAAATCTGTCTGACATGTTTTTCAAGTCAACAGGGCCAGAATTCAAGCCAGAGTTAGCCATGTGGGATCTGGCTTCCTTAACCACAGGCCACAGGGCTGGCCCAAGCCCTACCATTTTCATATTGCATGGGTTCACAAGTTTCACAGTCTTGGACATTGAATTTGCCTTGAATAATTGAATGATCTGGGCTGGAAACCTGTGCCCCAAGTTTATGAAACCCAGGAAATGTGGAAATGCCCAGGGAGATGAGGCAGAGGAATAGCAGAGGAACACGAAGCTCCTTGAAATAGGAGGGCCCGGTGCTGGGAATGAGGGCCTGCACCTGGGAGGGCAGCTGTGTCTTCAGGAAGAGACAAATGTAGTCCAAGTAGAGGGGGCGGGAAGGGTCTCTCTGGAATCTCACAGGGGCGAGGAGAAGGAGGAGGAGGTCACTGTCATTGACTGCTGTTGGTTTTCCCTCAATAAGAACTAAGTGAAGATGACCCGAATGGGGACAGTGTGGTGGAATTAAGCTGTGCACCGTCCTTTCCTCTCTCTGTCATTCTCTCTCATGGAAGAAATATTTTTTTTTCGGTGGGGTCCATTGTGGCATACTGTTTGCTTGTGTGTATTATGTCCCTAGAGAAAGAATTCCAGGACTTTCCCTCCCATATGTTTCCATCTTGCTTCTTCATTGTCCCTGATGCCAGCTGAGGTTGTCGGTACAATGAAACGGAACTGACGGGATGGGAGCAGAGTGTTTCGCCATTTCTCTACATCTTTGAGCTGCACGTCAAATCTGGGGCTGATCACTCCACACTTGTTTAACTTGCCACTGAGCGTCACAGCAATGTTTCCAACTCTGTGGTCATCCGTGATTTCAAATTCACCCACATAACCATGCTTCATCATCACGGTTAGAAAGCAATGACTTTGGAGCGCGGCCTAATTAGAACCTGGCGTTTTGGCCTCTTTTTTCAGCATCATTGATGCTCTTGAGGGCATGAGCCAAGACGTCCATGTGCACTATGAAAAGAAAGGTGGTGGAAAGACCAATAAATAATTTTTTGAAAAGTGAAGAAAATAAAAGTTGGGGATAACAAGGCCTGGGTAAAACTTCAGTATCTTCTGAAGCTCCTCCAGAATTGGGGGGCCCAGATCAGAGTCACCTCATAAGCAGGTTGGCCTATGTACGAGCTGCTGTCTGTCCTCTCCAACCCCAGCCAAGGATGGAGGTCCCTGGGGGTCACTGGGAATTTTCCTTGCTGAACTTGCTAGTTCTTCTGCGCAGTGCCAGAAGGGGGAGAAAGAGGTCAGTCCAGTCTAAATTAACGCACACTAGGAGCCAAGACACAGAGAGATTGCTCTGCAGGGGGCTGATGTCAGCGTCTTCCCCAAATGTGACAGCACAAATGGACAGAGACAGACCAGGTCTTGCTGAGAATTGCCACGTGGAAGCCCATGTCATTATCTCTTCTCCACCTTCCGGGGCCTGGAATACAACTCCCTCCCAACTCAGCAGAAACGTTGAAGATGTTTAAAATGAGCATTATTTTTTAAAAGAGAATTATTTATTTATTTTTATTTATTTATTTATTTATTTATTTATTTATTTATTTATTTATTTATTTATTTATTTATTTATTTATTTATTTATTTATTTATTTATTTATTTATTTATTTATTTATTTATTTATTTATTTATTTATTTTTGACCAGAGAGGGACAGGGAGAGAGAGAGAAAGAGAGAAAGTGAGAAAGTGAGAAAGCAAGCTGCCAGATCCGGGACTCGAACCACAGTCGGCCATGTGGGAGTCCAGCACCCTTAACCACCACGCCACCTGATGGCCCCAAAATAAGCACTCTTGTATGTGAACACCCTTGTACTCTATTCAGTTCCAATAACTTCATTGTGACAAAAATTCATCTTCCATCTTCCAGAGAATGTGGGCTCCTTTGAACCATAAAAATTGTCTCTTTTAGGACTTAGAGTGTAAGAAATAGTTGAAGAAAAATTAAGAGATGAGCTTCCAAAATCCAAACAAGTTAAACAGTAGTCTTCATGGCCATCTTTAGAAATAATTTCTTGGTGGTATTTGCACCTCACGGACTAAAGCAGGGGAATAAATCATACAGAGTCAAGGTGTGCGTGTGTGTGTGTGTGTGTGTGTGTTGTGGTCCCGAGCAGAGGTGGAGAAATGTGCAGTCGGACTGTTTACCACCCTCTGGTTGGCTCCGTTGTTCACCTTGTCACAGCCAGCTGGCCTCCCCACTCCGTGGTGTGTGAGTGAACGACAGGAAGAGGCAGAGCACCTGCTTATACCACTCGCCTCACGGGGGGAGGAAAAGCCAGGCACAGCTGGAGGAGGAGCACAGGTGCCCCATGGGCCACCGGGACTAAAGGTGACGCACCGCACCGAGCCTCCAGGGTTCTACCCGGGGACAATGGAGTGCAGAGGACTGAGGAGGCATTACACCCAAGGCTTGCTCGAATTTATTTCTCATCTCTTCACAATTATTCTGACGAGAACAAAATACACAGTTTTGCTCCAGGATTCAGGGGATATTTGGACATCCCTGGGTTACCTCCTCATTACTTCTCTCCTTTCTGTCGCAGGAAAGTTTAGGAATCCCCACTTACTTTCATCATCGTGGCTCCAGGCAGAGGACTTTCATGGGTTCAGCAACCCGCCCCACCTCCCCACCCCTGGGTAGGTAACCTCTTTCTCCTCACAGCCTTGTTACAAAGTCAAGAGTGCACAGACAGTGACAAAGGAGACCGGGAAGCGGGGCAGGCCCTGGGGCAGCCGTCGCCTCCATCTTCCCGGGAGTGGGCCCAACAGGTCTGCAACATCCTGGTGGTCAATTCTCCTTACCTGTCCAGTGTGTCTAGAAAATATTACTTCCCAATTTTAGTATATTTGGAACTAAAGATCCTTTCTATAATTGTTTACTTCGTTCAGAATAAAGTACATACACGCCCCTGTGACAGTGACGGAGAGATAGAGAGAGGGAGAAGCATCCTGCTCAGGGTCGGGCCATGCTATGATTCCCTTTGCCCAGCCCCCCAGCCCTTCAGACCTGTGCACTCCTGCCACTCCCATAGTCGTCACGTGAGATCCAGCTTCCCTTGAGCAGTGTGTGACCACCGTGCCAGTGAGCTGGCCCAAGATTGGATGATTCTCTAGGAATTTTTTTAAAACAGATTTTGCTCTTCATACAATTTAGCTACATGTAAGTTGTAACTTGGTGTTTTTAGATAGGATCTCGCTGTGTTACTATCCTCCTACCTCAACTCCCCTTTAGCTGGGATTATAGTTACGCACTTTCTTGGCCAGTTTGGGAATTGAACCCGGGCTTCCTGTGCCACCTCAACCTGTCAAGCAGTAGTATCAGCCAGTGCATGTGACTGCAGCTGGGCCAAGTTGTGTGATTTTCAAATGTCACGTGAAATAATGGCATTTTATCATTTCCTCTAGCATTTCCTATAACTTGTGAAAGTTGAACAACAAATGACTTCATAGTCTATAAAATTCAAAACATCTCTTTATGTGTGATTGCTATATCACTGTATCTCAAGTCACAAGAAACACTTCATTTTAAACTTTCTTCCCAATAATTGCTTTATTTAAAGGTAGTTATTTACAGATAGGTTCATATGAAGATAGTGTTATTTCGACTGGCCCTGTAGCCTGGTGGTTAAGGGAAGCTGTATTCCAACCACATGGTTGACTGTGGTTCTAACCCTGACCCTGACAATTTGGGGGCCACTCCAGGTGCATGTGTGTACATGCCCGAAATCCCCACAGAATAGAGATGGAGAAGAGGGGATTGCATCATGGTGACCGCATCCCACTGGGAGGAAGTGTGCTTTCTCTCTCGCTCTCTGGCAAGTGCATATCCCTTCTGGCAATAAAAAAGAAAAGAAAAATAGTATCCATTCCATTGACTGCAGCAATAGATCATCTTAATTCCTATTTCTAAGCTTGTGGATACTTACTTTGCAATGTTGCAACAGATTTCAAAACCAGATATTCCAAAGTCTTTGAGGAGCTCTAAGAACTCTTTGATATGCTTCACTGCGATGTCTGTGCTGCTTTATTTTGTAATAAATGTACAATTCTGTAGCTAACAAAGTTTACTACCTGAATGCAGACAGTTTCTGTCCTGGAGTTCAGGCCTAGAAGTTAAAATTTGTGCAGATGCCCCAGGGATGGGCTCTGAGAATGATGGGAAGACATTTCCACCGGGGTCTCCGGCACGGCCCCTTCTCTCTGGGCTATGACCATTGTGTTCATCGTTGCTGCTTCTACTTCTGCTGCTGCTGTAGCCGATGGCAATCTGGGCTGTGTTCTGGCACCAGTGTCCCTCCAAGGCCCTGCAGGATCTCCAGACTGTCCCTGATGTGTGCACACACCAGGCAGCCAGGCCAGCTGCAGGTCACGCATGTGGCCTAAGCCTGGGGTGCACGTGCTACTGATGGTGTATGTCCTCCGCTTGTGCGTAGGCTCTGGAGTACCATCAAACTTCACTTACAAATCACAGATCCAAAGATGCAGTCATAAGAATTTCAAGATGGCAGCCGCAGCAAAGCATTAAATGCAGGCCTTCTCTGAGAGCAAGGGTCCAGGTAGCTGCATAGATCAAGCCCATGAAGCCAGCTCTGGCCAGAGGGTTCACCACATCAGAAAAGTGGCCATATAATCCAGGCACGCAAGCCCGGGTACTTCTTTTGAGCAGTACACACTATTAATAATCATGCCGGGGCAGCAGCTGGAAACAGGCCCACCCTGGGCTCGGATACTAGTTGAACACGAAAGGCTCACAGTTCCCTGACTACTCACTACGAGTGACCTCTGCTTCTGCTACAGACCAGCTGTACACATTGTGAACAGACTGAGGGGCGTCACAACTTAAACTCTACAGTCTCACCCCATTTCTCTCTATCCATGTATTTGATTTTATTTGTTGTTATTATTAATGTTTTCATTTGACCAGAGAAAGACAGAAAGAGAAACAAAGAGAAAGTGAGAAAGCAAGCCACCAGGTCCAGGACTTGAACCATTGTTGACCACGTGGGAGTCCAACACCTTAACCACCATGCCACCTGCTGGCCCCCCTCTTGCATGTTCTAATCTGCATTTATGACCATTCTCAGTTCTAAAGAACCAAAAACTCTTCCTCCCTGTGTAAATTTTGCCCCAGTACGTTAGGTCATTGGGAAAGTCATGAAGTGTTTTTCTGTGCAAAAATGGATCACGGCTTTCCCCAATGACCCAATATTTGACCTCTACCAGCCTCACTGGGCCCCAGAGTCCTTTCCCTGCTTGTCCCAGGCCTCCTTCAATGGCCTTGAACTCCATCTTTCCATGCAAGTTGCCCAGGAGAACCTTAGCTCCTAGATACATCCCTCTAGTTGTCTACCTGGGCTGACAAGGACTCTACAGAAATGTCCACTGTTGTGTCATTGTGAACCTGTGACTTCAAGTGTCAGCTGAGCACCCCTGGAGAATCGAACTCGCCCTTTGCTTCTGCACTCCTCAATGTCTCGCCCAGAACTCTACGCTACAGGACCGTTTGGGTGGAGAAGTGGCCTTGGCTAGTGTCCTCAGAGGAACTTCACTTCAATTTTTTTTTTTGTTTATTTGCTTCTCCTTTCTTTTTTTTTTTTTTTTTTTTTTTTTTAGAGATTTTCACTGTAGGGCGCGTGCGCTCGCCAGACAGACAGAGAGAGACATAGAGACAGAAAGCGAGAAATCACCCCCCAGGGGGGATGGTCACGCCGCAATCCCTTCTCCTCCGTTCTCCTCTCGGGATCTTGGGCACGCACGCACACGCGCCCGGCGTGAGTTTTAAGCCACCGGGTCCGGGACACGAACCGCGGTCGACTATGTGGGAGTCCAGCGACATAG